CGTCTCTGCCTCCATTTCAGGCGTCACTGCTTCTCTGGGTAGGGTCCCGTTCTCGGCTCTTCTCCATTGATGGTCCTAGGCTCCTAGGCTGAAAAGTTAATCACTCCCCTCCTTGCTATAAAACGTCTACCTTTACATTTCCAACCCTCACAATCAGAACAAGACCATTCTTGTTAAACATTAATATTATTTCCAGCTGTCTTTATTTTATTTTTTACCATAAACCAAACTGATCTGGATCTCCATGAGCATATATGTATTTGTGCACTTTCAAATTATTCCTGAGGATAAACCCCTGTAAATGGCATTCCTGAATTAGAAGGCATCGATCTGGTGTTCATCAATTGATTTCGGCGTTCATCTGTGTCCAATCTGACAGCAAACGTGAGCACGCTGGAAACTCACTTCCAATGTAATGGCTACAAGGGCTACCACCTAGTCTACAGTCCCCAGAGGGGCTTCACCTGCGTTTCCCCGTGCAGTGAGGGCTATTGTAAGCACGGAGGCCAGTGCCAACACCTGCCTGAAGGGCCCCACTGCAGGTGAGTAGGGTAGGGAGCAAGAGGCACAAGGACAGTGCTGGGGAGTCCATGCTGGTTAAAGATACTGCAAGGGATACCATGGTACCTCATGGTATGTGAAAATCAGGATGATTCCCTTTGTAACTAAAGAATTGGGATCAGAGAAAGTGTGTGTGTGGGGGGGAGGTTTAAGGGAAAACTTTGTGAGTACCTCAACGACAATTATCAACAACAGCAACATTCTATATAAAAATTATACATCTTCTAAAATGCAAACACGCCGCAGGGTGAATATTATTGTTACCATTTTAAAGATGAGGAAGCTACAGTTTAGAGATGGTAAGTAATCCGTCCAGGGAACCCAGGAAGTTAAGTTGTTATTGTTGTTGTTATGTGCCGTGGAGTCGGTTCTGACTCATAGCGACCCTGTACAGGGTTTCCGAGGCTGTTAAGTAGTAAGGTTAAATCTTCCAAAGTCAAAATCCTTCCCGTCTTCCATTTGATTTTGCTTCTTGAGTGAGCACTCTGCTGTCTCCTTGTGGAAAAGGAACCAACTGACTTTATGTTTAGGCGTAGCCCTGCCCCTCCATAATATTACTCAGTCAGGGAAAGTCAAACTGGTGCCCTCAATCCTGTTTGTTCAGGACTATCGTCTGAGTGTTTCCCAGGAGGGAAGTGAAAGTAAGTCTACAGGCTAAGGAAGAGATGGACATCAGCACTCTGGGCACTCTCTGACTCACTGCCTAGGCTCAGACCTGAGTGCAGCCTGTCCTCAGCCTACCCTGTCCCTACAACAGTCCCAGATTTCGCCCAACCTGTCCACTCCAGCCTGGCAAAGGAGGGAGTGAGTAGAGCCGAAGGCGGGGCTAGCTTTCTAGGGGCGGGGCCAGCTCTCTTAGGCGGGGCTCAGCAGCCCGAGACAGGCTGGATTTGTGATTGCACGTGCTCACTTGCTGCTAGCCCACTCCTTTCACCTGAGTCTAGATGAATTCACACTCCTGTTTTTAAGGCATCGCCTGTCTCCATTGCCCAGTGCCCTGGCTTCGTATGCCCTCAGGGCTGATTTCAGCCTCTCACGCCCCCAAGGAAGAGGAGGTGGGGAGACTGGGGGTGGGGCAAAGCAGGGCGGGCCCTCCAGTACCTGACTGTGCCCCCTTTCTGTCGCAGCTGCGTGCCTTTCTCCATCTACACACCCTGGGGCGAGCACTGTGAGCATCTGAGCTTGAAACTTGGCGCCTTCTTTGGGATCCTCTTTGGAGCTCTGGGTGCCCTTCTGCTACTGGGGGTCGTGGCGTTTGTGGCTCTGCGCTTCTGCAGTTACTCCAAGACCTGGGACTCCTACCCTCTGGGCTCGGAGAGTTGAAACCTCACTTCGCCCCAAATGGGTCAGCTGTGCCTAGGGAGACCTCAGGATCGCCCCATCCACACCTACACGCCTCCCAGGGAAAAGAGAAGATGACTAACTGAAAGCAATTCAGAAGTCTTCAAGGAGAATGAATGGTGGGAATAAAGACCACAAAGACATATAACATAAATGGATGGGTCCTCTATCGACCCACAGGCAGGACACTGATCTGCGCACACGTGTATGCGAACACACACACGCTCAGACCATACACAGCATGGTCAATAAGGGGTGATGGCTCTCAGTTAAAAACCAAAAGGCATTTGCACACAATGCTCTCTAATTTACTTCTAATTAAAGTCTGTTTAAATAAAGACCCTCTGACTTTTTGTGTCTCCAACGCCATGTGTGTGGTGCTGTAGGATAAGCACTGGACTGATAATCACAAGACTGGTAGTTGAAACCCACCAGCCACTCCTGGGAAACCTTACACAGAGTCTCTGTGAATCGTAACTGACTTGAAGGCACTTAACAACAACAACCACAAAGCCATGTGTGGCACTGTGACTGCTAACTGCAAGGTCAATGGTTGGAGTCCACCAGCCTGTCACGGGGAGAAAGATGAGACTGCTGCTCCTGTAAAGATTTCAGCCTTGGAAACCTTATCCAGGGTCGCTGTGAGTCAGAACCACCTCCCCAGCACTTAACAATGGCAACAAACCATGGGTTCTGTTTGTGCTTTTCCTCTGGAGGCTGAAGGGCTAAGCCTAGGACCTTCTCAATCATCAGAAGGCACAGGGTTGTAGAGATTAAGTGTGGGACAGGTGGTGAAGGACCAGGAGTGGGCTGGATCCAACCCTGCTGCAGCCCTCAGTTACTTCGTAATAATTAGGAAGTCTCCATTGGGCCACAGCTTCCAGATCACCTTTTGTTCTTTCATCCCAACACAGGAAAGTCTGGCCTTCTGAAGAGAAGGACAGAGATGCCCTCCATCTGGAGTATACCAGATTCGTTTCCCCAGGAGCCCTACAAACTTGCTGTTCTCTGTCCATCAGTTTCACCAAAACCGATACAAGGATTAATATATTGTGCCTTTTCTTGTTCTGATTCTGTCCCCACTGCCTGTGTTCCTTGGAGAATGGATTGAACCATTTCAGCTCGCTTTTCAGGAACCAACTTGAAAAGCATGGACACTCACCCCAAACTTAGAGCTGAGATACTCAATCCCTGGAACATTTCCTCAGTCCTTTCTTGGGCCCAGGTAGAGTCTCTGAGGTACTCCTCCACCCCACTGAAAGAGGGAAGGGCAGCCAGGAGAGACAGACCTGGATGCCTATGCTCACTCTTGTGGGTAGATCAGTGATGTGGGAAGCTCTCAAAGAACTAAGGTCTCTGATCTGAGAAGACACTCCACAATGCCTGCTTTACAGAGAAGGTAAAGCCACACTCCCATGTACAGAATTGTGGCTTAGCCTTCTAGACCCTAAAGTTTAATCAGGTCTCAATATAAAACCTCAGTCACAGCATTCATTTCACAAGAATGGAGGACCCACAGCACTTGAGTTGGGTAGGAGGATACAGTGTCCAGCAATTATAGAGAAGGATGTAAAACAAGGAGGACTGGTCGGACATCCCTTGTCCCTGACCTTTGGAGTCCCAAGACTAAATTAAGAGACAAGGACTTTGTAATGTGAAGGGGACAATAGTTTCGTAATGTAAGGTTCAGAGGTTATAGTAGTATAAGTCAGCACATAAGGTCCAAAAGTTACCCTAGTATCCGTCTCATCCTAAGCACAATGAGGCATCTTGGTAAGACCCATGCTATGCAAGATATATGATTTTTATAGGTATTGTGTGTCAACAAATACAAGGAAGGGAACTGGAAAGAACAAAAGCAAGGTGGCAAATGTAAGGTCACCCCAACCCTCCAGTCCTTTTTCCTGGTGTCCTTTCTCCTCGCATCCATCTCTAGGTATTCCTCGCACTAAACAATGGAGGGGGTGTGGGAAGACAATTTATCTATGACCAACAGCTCATATCAGAGGCAGAGGAGTTGCCCAAAACCCACAAAAGATTTGGGACCTCCTCATACTAAGAAAAAAAAAAAATCACTGTTTATCTGAAATTCAAATGTTACTGAGTGTCCTGTATTTTATCTGACAACCCTACTTCAAAGGGTGAAGGCACTGAATGTATAGAAGAAGGGGTTTGTGGTGGACATTCTCCTCGGCTTGGGCAGGAAGGTGCCTCCTTGTGAATAGCGCTGTAGACCAAGAACACGGCTCCACATTTTCATCTACTCACACCCCTGAAATCATATCGTTTGAATTCTGTTGCTTTGACAACTGGAATAAACGGACCAGCCCTTCTTTGAGGTGCCATGACTGTGTTTGCTTGCCAGAAAGAAGGAAGCAGATCATCAACTTGTACCCACAGTTAATGGCAGGCTGCTAAGACATCTCAGTGGGCACTGGGGAGACAAAGGGAGCTGTCTGGGTTGATGCTTGATCAGAGAGGCAGATTCCCTTGCCCATGTTCTCAGAAGAATCTTCCAGAAACTCCTATGGGTCTAAGATAAGGAGTTTAATGAACAGGATACAAACAATAGAGAACTAGCATGATATACCCATTTAAACATTCATCGATACCAAGATGAATGCCCACTCATTTAAATTTGGGGTACACCATGAGTTCATTATCATTCACTGTTTTGAGTGAATTGATGGCCAATTCCTTTCACACAGAATCCGGCAGAAGCTTCGGTTGGAGTCTCTTGTCAGTAAACTTCCATCTCATATTGTCCTTTTCATGGCCTTGAGATGAGTTTCATGCCTTCTCCTAGTTTGTGCTGAGTCACAGGTGACTTTAGACAGGCTATCTTATTTAGACCCACACCTACATTTGTTTTTATTATATATGTGGTATTTTCACTTCTTATAAACAAGTCTCCAGAATCTTGCATAACTGACTAGTTTTCTCTAGGTACTTCTGGTTCTTACAGGGTTGGTGATAAATTTTGGTTGTCCCCAGTACTTCTTACACACACAACATCCAGACATTCGTATGCACAAGCAAAAGTGTACACTTAATTCCCAAATCCTTCTGAGTGGTACAGCCCGTATTTTACTTTTGGGGGGACATCCAATGAGAACAGTAATCAACATCGCATATATTTGCATCCTTTTATGTTTGTAATTAGATGAAATTATCCACTAGTTATGGATTGAACTGTGTGCCCCAAAGAGATGCGTTAAACTCCTAAATAGTGCTGCCTGTGAATGTGACCTTATTTGGAAATAGGGTCTTTGAAGATTCAAGTTAAAATCAGGTCATATTGAATTAGGGTGGGTCCTTATATGAAAGATATAATGGACATCCTTGGATGAAAAGAAGAGTCTCAGATATAGACATGAAGCCAGAAACAAGACTGTCAACTGAAGAAAGGCAGTAAGGCCAGAGCAAGGCTGCCACAGCCTGGGAGCCCCTGAGACTATCAGAAGGTAGGAGGCAACGGAGGATTCTTCCCTAGAGGATGCTAAGAAAGCACTTTTGGACTTCTCGTCTCCAGAGCTCTTAGAGAATGTATTTCTGTTGTTTCAAGTTTCACAAGTTGATAGCACTTTGCTATTTGGAAACGATTATGTGAAAAATGGAACAAAGTCACTGTCAACTAAGTAGATTCTGACTCATCGTGGCCATGTAGAGGGTTTCTGAGGCTGTAAGTCTTTACGGGAGCAGAAAGCCTCATCTTTCTCCAGCAAAGCAGCTCATGGGTTTGAACGCTGATCTTGTGGCTAGCAGTCCAGTGCTTAGCCTACACCACCACTAGGAAAAACTAATATAGCACTGATTTAAAGACGTACAAAACAAGAAATGAAAAGTCATTTAAAACTGGGCTTATAAATACACAAGCAGTGGAAGGTGGGTGGGAGAACAAGGTAGATAGGGGAATTCTGAGGCAGGTTTGCATGGGCTAAGTGGGACAGAGGTAAATAGTGATGTATGGTCAACCTTGGAACAACAGGGCTCTGTGATACAGGGATTGAGACATAGTCTGAAGAGGGGAAATAATGTTACGATGCTTGACTGACTTATGAATACTTGTTTTTCTTGCCTACTGTTGTATACATACTTGAGTGGAATAGAAATGAATGTCGGGAAACATGATTACAAAAAGTTTGTAAGCCTATCTTCAGCCTATAACTGCTATGAATACCTAAAAGGGGTTCTAGAACTTGGGCAGTGAAATAAGCTTCCAGCGGAGATTTTGCAGTGCATAGGGCCTTAGGTGGAATCCTGATCCCCATCCAGAACGTTCTGAGGGGGAAACTCCCAGAAAGGACAAGCAGACTAGCCTGAAAAAGCGAGAGCAATACAAGATACATCTTCAAAGAAAGATCAGCAGGAAAAATCCAAAACAAAAATGGCAATATGATTGGCTGCTATATGAACTAGCAAGTTATTCACTGGGAATTCATTAAGGCAAGCAATCAAGTCCCTTCAGGAGGAACCCCCCACCCCCCAAGACTGAAACTCAAAGGGAACACAGGAGCAGGCATGTAAGCTTGCTGGTGCCCATGTTGGTCTATTGGTGAGTGGAAAAGGGGGAAAGGCAGCAATGAAGAAATGGACTGAGTTAAAACCACACTTCATAGACTCTCATTGACCTGAAGATGCGAGAAAGAGGAAGAGCTGGTTAGTCTGAAGTTTGGTGAGACCTGGGGATTCCTGAGCCCATGGACAAGGACATAGCCACAGAAGGCTAGAGCTGAGAGTGAAGCATCCAGCTGATATGAAGTGAGGGGAGATGCACAAGAATGCCCAAACTTGCAGTTAGTATCTATTTGACCTAACCTCGATGTCTTGATAATTAGAACTCAACTAGAGGAAGATTAAAAAACAAAGAAAACAATTTTTGATAAAGGAAACAAATGTAAATTGCTACAATTTGATGAACTTGACCTATACTTATGGATGTAGTAGCTCAAAATACCAACAGAGAGGGAAGAAGTCTTCACATCAAGTAGATGGGGATAAGATTCTTATGATTTAATAGTAATTGTTATCATAACTATTTGTGACTGTCACAACTGTAAAGGTAGAAGGTTTGTAACAAAAATGAGGGTGTAGTTAATCTTACAGTACAGAAACAGAAGACCCTAGGACCATCAAAAGAGAAGAACACAGGCAGAGTGTTGTACCCTATCCAGAGAAGCAGCAACACCAGAGATGGAGACAGAGATGAGGACATGGAGAGAGAGCAGCTGAGAACTCTGGAGTCATGGAAAGAGAGGGACTGGGTGCTGGTGGCCAGGAGGCAGGCTTGCAGAATGTGCACAAAATTCCTATACCATAAACTGTTAAAAAATAAATCATCTCTGGACAGGCTGAGTGTAATTTTAATTGGAAGCACACAGCAGATGACAGATAGGAGATCAGGTTTACTGAAACACAACACGTGTGCCAAGGGAAGTCCAAGGACACCTCTGGGAATAAGGGAGACCACCCCCCTACACACATACACACACACACACATTGAGGCATATGTGAGCCAGGGTTTCGCTGCCATGTGTAGGGTAAAGGACCTGGGCCAGCTGATTATGGTGGGAGACTTTCAGGCACATCTCAGCATAGTAGAGGGGTGCCAGTCTGTTGATGGGGGCCCAGGTCATAGGCAACACTGTTTCCCGTTGGACACGTAGGCCATCCCTGGTTGCAGCTGATGTTACTTAGTTCTTCCTGATGCTCAGCAGGGAGACTTGGATGGGAAGCATGTGGGCATGCAGTTCATGGCGGAGCTGAAAGGCAAAAGGAGCCAGATGGTGCATCCAACCCATCTGTCCAATGGGTGCATCATGGGACAATGAGCGTATACATGTGTGGAGGACAGCAACATGTTCTGAGCTTCCCAAGTGCTGGGCCCATTATGGTATTTACACCTCACAGTCACTTTGTAAAGCAGGTATTATGATTCCCATTTTATAATGGAAGAAAATAATATTGAGTAACTTATCCAAGGTCACACAGCTAGAATTAGAATTCACACCCAGACCAACTTGGCACCAAAGTTCATTGTTTGAGCGCTGAGTCAGTTCCTAGCAAGAACTGACCCCAACACCTTCATTGCTTAGTTCCTGATCAACCTGGTTTCTGACTCCAGAAACAGTTGTTCACACCCAACACTCAGCCCCGACTTCCATCTTCAACTAAGATTTGTACTTGCTACTTTCTCTTGTGTAGGGAGCATTTGTCTGTCCCATACCTAAACTCCTATCCCACAGTTTAGGAAATTCTTCATTATTAGAGTTCTGATGAGTCTGCCTTCCACTGAAAGAACTTCAAGGGCTCAGATATTCCTGTTTCCCATCTGCTGGCAGTGGAATCTGGGCACAAGAGCCAGGCTCAGTCTATTGTAAGTCTGCACTCAGGACTTGGACTAGTAACAGGTGATCCAAAGACAAAGGGGCAATAGGAACCCATTTGTAGCATTGGGTGCAAACAACATGGTCCACTGGCTGTGACAGCATCCAGTGGTGACAGTGGTCAGTAAGAATAACAGTGTTCTAGTCATAGCACTGTAGGATAAGCATTGGGCTGCTAACCATAAGGTTGGCAATTGAAACCCAGCAGCCTCTCCTTGGAAACCATGTCCAGGGTCTCTATGAGTTGGAACTGACTAGACAGCACTTAACAGCAACAGACTAGCTTCCTGGGTTCCTCCTGCCTGTTTTTTTCTGGCTGCTCTTCTGGCATTTGATTCTATGCACCTGGTGTAGTGCTATAGGATAAGCACTGGACTGCTAACCACAAAGTTGGCAGGTCAAACCCACCAGCTGCTCCTTGGAAACCCTATACAGAGTTGCCATTAGTCAGAACCAGCTTGAGGGCACTTAATAATAGCAATGCACCCTTGTACCCTTCAATAAATGTCCTTTTTCTTACTACAGTCAGATTGTTCTATTTTGCTTGCAACAAAGGACTCTATTTAAAACAGATACATCCTGCTTCTGTAGGTCAAGAGTAGCCAGGACCCCAGCTCCAGCATGTGCCTCAGCCAGAGCCTCTGTCACATTGACCCTTACAAGGAGTGACACCAAGCCAGAACAACTCACAAGCCAGATGGCCCATCATGGACTGTGAGAAGTACTAGGTACAAGCTTAAGGTGTTGGCAAGGCACACTACCAACGGGGCAGGCCATCCACATTAGACTGGAACCCATCTTCACTGAAGAACAGATACTTCTCACTACATCATGTTCCCTCTCTTTATAGAATGAGAGAGACTGAGCCAGGGAGATCTGACTGAGCATGCCCATTATAACCTTCCAATGATCTGGATTTAGGAGAATTTTCCCAATGTATACAAATATATTCAATTCTCCATCTATAGAATACACATACACTTTGTTTTCTTTTGGTTTTGTTTTTTTGCCCCGCAGTCCTATTTCCTCTGGGGCCTGTCCTTCCCATTCCGTGTAGTCCTGGAAAGGCTGCCATTCATGGTGGACCTTGAAGGTATGACATGCATTTCTTTGGAGAGGCAAGTGACTTTCTCAGCTGAAGGTGCTAAGCTGAAAGTTTGAGGATCTAGGGCTATCACACCCAGCTTTCCTTGCTTGTGGAGGGAGACTCTTCAGAATGAGGGGAGGAGAGATGAGAGAAGAAGAGGAAGAGGAAATACTAATGGTCATGTTTGAGCTGCAGGATCCAGCCATGACTGATGTTGGAAAACTACTTCTAGGTTCCTCAGCCAATACCTTGCCTTTCTGTGTAAGCTACGATAGGTGGGCTTCTGTCACTTGCAACCAACAGTCTTGCCTTTCTTCTCATCAGTATCACTGACCATCTCCCGAGGGCCCAGAGACCTGAGCTTCCTAGGGCTTGTGCAAGTTGGGAGCCGGGCAAAGTTGTTTGTTTTTACATTCAGCGAAGGAGAATTAAGAAATCAGAAAAAGAAATGAAGCCAGACAGGGGTCTTTGGTTTTAGTTCCCAATATTCCATAAGAAACTAGATCCCCCTCCCCAGTGTAGTAGTGGTTCTTCTGGATGCTGCACATCTTCTCCCGGACTCTTCTATAACCCTTCACTCTCCTCTACCTCCCTGACCCAGACAGCACCCACTCACCTGCCTCATCAGCCTCTCTGCCACCCTCGAGTTAGTGAGGTCTTCTGGGGAGGCCACACTCAGTCGCAGAAGGAAGAAGCCTCCATCTCCATCTGTCAAGTGAGAGCAGTAGGAAGATAGAAAGTATGGCTAAATCACTACCCAGCTCCTGCCTCCCTCCCTACACCCATGTGTGCACACTCACATGTAATTGTGTCTGTGCTCACAAGGGATCCTGCATTTACTCACTGCAAAAAGAGCCAGGTGCCCTGTAAACTTTCACTCAATGCAAAATAAAAACATTTAATTAAAAAAAAAAAAGAGCCAGGACTGTGTGAAAGAAATGATGGCTAAAGGCGCCACCCCCATTTGGAGAAATCAAAACGGTAATGTGTGTGAGGAATGAAATATGGAAGTAGCTCTAGAATATTCTCAACCTCAGAGGTCCTGGGTGGGGCTGTTGGGAGAGGGCGTAGCCAGGGAGAGTGCCGGAAGAGAGGCTGGTGCTCTAAAGGGATGCCCTCAGTGATTTTTTTAAGTTGGTGGACCCTGAAGCGGTCTTCTAACCCACCCTTCCTGGCTTAGCTGCTCTGTAAGGTTTTTCCTTCTCTGCTTGCCTTTATCGGCCATGTGTCATTTCTTACTATCAGAATACTATTAGAGTTCACGCAGCAATTGCACTTTTAGTAATTTATCCTACAGATAATAGCACACATACAAGAAATATACTGTTTAGTGTAGCACTATTTGTCATAATACTGAAAAAACATAAATGGCTATTCACAGGGAACCAGGTCTTAAAAATGGTTACAGGCTTAACAGGAGTTTGTCAGAGCAAGCAGCCTCTGACAAGAGACTTTATGTAGAAGTATCTGTTGCCTCAGAAATGCAGATTTAAACTCCCAAACTTAGTCCTTTTTTTTTTTTAAGTCACTATGGAGACAACCCGGTAAGGTAATCCTGTGAGCCCCACTTTCCTAGGGTCCCAGCTGCTTAGAGGGCAGCAGCTGTGGTCATTCTGCATCTCTGTATGGCTTCCAGAAAATAAGGGCCATATCTTTCAAATAAAATTTAGGCCTTGACTGATGCACAGTACTTACTCATTAGTTAACTTCCTAGAAGGTCTGAGCTGGAAAGGACTTCAGTGCTCACTCAAAGCAATCCCGTCCTGTAGATGAGAAACTAAACCCCAAAGAGAGAGAGAGAAAGGAACTTGTCCAAGATCACCAGGTTGCTAAGGACAGAGGCAAGGTCTCAAACTATTTCACTAGATTCACAGCCCAGCACTCTTTCCATATACAACCCTGACTCTGTTAATTACTGATTTGAGCAAGAAACCCTAGGAGATCATGAAGAGGTGATATGGAGAGATAGCTCAGAATAGATCCCCAGACCCTTACTTCCTCTCTAATTCTTAAGTGTGTAGACATTTTGGAAGCACCGAACCTCAAATACTCAAAGATTACACATGGGGGAGACACTTACCTACAGTACCTTTTGTGGTCAGATTTGTCTGAGCCATGGCTGTTGGAAGCTTCCCTCTGGTTGTGCTGGCTATCTTTGGAGTCTTCGCTGAGTTTGTGGTCTTAGTTAAGGTGATGTTTGCTGCTCCACTACTGTTGGCTGTAGTCAGATGGACAGAAAGAAGAGGGCCCCTGCTGGTGGGGAAGGTTCTACTGGTTGTGCTATTTGTCTTCAAAGTTTCTGAAGGTGTAGCGCTCTTGATGGTGGTTTCTTCTGAGGAATTATGGACTGTAGGTGAGGATATAGCAGAAGTAATAACTTTGCTCGTTGTTGACTCAGCTTCTATAGAAATTGTAACTGATTCTGAAACCTCCATGTGGCTTATAGCAGTTTCCTCCAAGGAGTCTGTGCTAACTGCCACCAAAGCCCCATTGGGGGTAGTAGCCTTGATTGTTGTCTCTCTTTCACCAGGTATGACTGACCCTGTGGTGCTGGTTGTTGACCAAGTCTTAACAGAGGTTGTATTCTTGATGGTGTGTGATTTTGCTTGAGTGGAGTTAGGCAAAGCTGACATCTCAAGGCTAGACAGAGCCTCTATCCCTTTTGTGGGGCTGTGATTTGTGTCTGAGCGTCCAGGGATGATGGCGGTTGTTTCTGTTTCTATAAGGCTGCAATTGATAAGCTCGATGTCAGTGATGGTGTAGGCAACCCAAGCTTTAGTTGGAGCAGTGCTATCAGGGTCTGGGGTTGATGAGGTGGTGATGGCTGGAAAAGAGATATCAGAGAAGATACTTCTCTCCAATGTCAAGGTCATGTTTTCAGCTTCTGCAGAGGTATGAGTCAGTGTTAAGACGTCAGTCATGATCATCTTTCCCTCTTCAGAACTGCCATCCATACAAAGGATGTCCAAGGCAGCTTCTCTGTGATCACTGCCCATCACAGTCTCATCCGTGATCATTCCCATTATTGCAGTGCTGCTACTGGTGGCCGATATCTCCAGAGGGTTGTTAACCACAATCATGAACTTGTAAGGCATGGTTTTTGTTTCACGGGAAATGGTCTTGGTGTCCCTGGTCTCTGCTTCTGAAGCAGTGCCAACTGGGGTGAAGATTCCAGCATAGGTCTCGGTTCTTAGGGTTTGAGTTTCCAAAGGGACGTGTCTTGAGGTCTCAGTGGCAGCAGTGGTCTGGAAGCCTCCCTCTGAGCTTGTCCTAATTCTTGCAGTAACAGCAGACATTTCTATGTGGTTTGTTGTCACCAACTGGTATGGTCTGCTGGTGCTGGGACCTGCATTGGGTAAGATTGACTCTGTGAGCCTGAGTCCCAAAGGATTCACTTCATGTGTGCTCTGGCTTTTATGCCCTGGGCACCACTGGAAGGAGGTCAAGGAGGGGAAGCTCTTTTTAACTCATGTTTTTATCCTTCTAAACAAGAAGAGAGGCAGCATCAGGAACATCAATCCCTTGGGACAACCATAGAACTGGCATTGGCCCAATTGATGTTCTCTTCTGCCCAGATAAGCCACTTGAGGCAAGCATGTTCTAGAATCCTAGCTGATTATTGGTATGTGGGTCATGAGAGGCAATGTGTGTGGCCAGGATCCACATGTAAAAATGGAAACCCTTAACATATAAGAAAGGCCTATGGTTTTGTCTTTAGAGGTAGCTGAAGCCCCAACAGTGAGGCTCTTGGAGTCTGACCACTGACATTCTCTGACATGTTATCCTCCTTCCCCAGGAGTCCTGTAGTGTCCTTCCTTATCCGAAGTCTTCTCATGCTTCCTAAATCCATAGTGTCTTCATCTCAGGGGTTCTCAGAATCCCTACCCAATTGTCTTATCTGTCAGGGGTCTGTGGATTCCCTGAGTCTTTTCAGACACCAAAGTCCACCCCTCTATGTCTATAGCTCTAGAATGTTTCAGCCCCCTGGTATATTTATTCCTCAAAGGGGAATGTGGATGAGCTTTGGACCTTGAGTTTGGGTTCCCTCTCTACTGCTTATTAACCATGTGATTCTGGGCACATCTCTCCTTGGCAAACCCACACTTTCTCATCTGTAAAATGGAGCTTGGCAGTGGTGGTAGTATTGGTGGCAGGCAAGTTGGCCTCCAACTCATGGTGACTCTATGTGTTACAGAACATTCTGTACAACAAGGTTTTCTTGGCTGTAATCTTTATGGAAGCAGTTTACAAGGCCTTTATTTTGCTCAGCTGCTGGGGGGATTCGAACCACCAATTTTTAGATTACCAAGTGGTTATCAACCACTTACACCACTCAGACTTCTAAAATGGAGCTAGGGTTACCTATTTCATGGAGGTTTTGAAAATGAAATTAAATGTAAAATGTTCCGCACAAACTTGGTAGATTGTAGGCAGAGTGATCTAGTGGTTGTGTGTGTGTGTGTGTGTGTGTGTGTGCGTGCATTTCTGTGTGTACTCAAATCCTGGCTCTATGAATGAGTCTCCTCATCTTTAAAAGTGGGGGGTAAGAATAGTTCCTCTCTCTTAGGATTATTGTGAAGATGGAAAAGAATGCATGTGAAGAGATTGGCACGGTTTCTATTAGTAACAGATCAATGTGAGTTCTCTTCTTTCACAGACCCCAGAGTCCATCTCCCCCAGCCCCCACAAGGAGTCTATGACAATCAGATCATTCAGGCAAAAATTTTATTTTGAGGGAAATCCATGTTAGAAAATAAACTTGAAGGACTCTGAATCTTCTTATGTCACATTCTTCAACTTAAAATTGACCAACCAGCTTGAACATCTCCTACACACATATCAATACTCTTCCTTTTCCTCAAAATCCCATTTGCATATAGACAAACCCTTATAAGATAGCATTTATTTGTAATGCCCTGCAGTGGCCATACATGCTGCCACTGACATATACTATTTGCATACTCTTTATCAACATTAATACTATGCATTTTGATGCCTTACAACTAATCATAAATAGCTTAGGAGAGCTTATTCTCACCCACAGGGGCTGCCCACACTAAAACTCACTCCAGAAGTCCACAAGTCCCATCTCCCCTTCTTACCTGCAGCACACCTGGGGATTCCAGTCTCCCAACAGACGAGGCAAAGGGACAGAGTCAGGCCCCAGAAGGAGCCCATCCTGGTTAGGGCACTGGCCACCGTGCCCAAACCTGCCTGCTGTCCCCACGGCTGCCTTTTCCTGCTTCCTCAACCCAGGGAGGAGGAGCAGGCTGCCTACCCAGGTGTGACTGTGTGGTTTCCAGGATGTGGCCAGGTAATCACAAATGCACAAGCTGAGAGGAGGGTGCTCAGCCAAGCTGACCTTTCTGTTTCCCTCACCCCGTGACTGCTCTTCTCTGAAGTTTAGTTTAAAGATATGGAATCACCTCCATAGTGATCGTCTCTCCTGCAGTCCTGTAGCCAGGGACGTCATGGAAGACGGTGGTTCAACTTCATACTGCCACTCATAAACCCTCACTGTGCCTAGAGTTTAGAGTCAACCAGACAGATCTGGGTTTCACTCAGGACTCTGGATCTTATTAACTCTATAGTTATAGAACCTTTATGAACTTCAATTTCCTGATCTATAAAATGGGCATAATCCCTAGCTCACTAGACGATGACTGTAAGGATTACATGAGATAGTAAAGCTCTTACACAGTGTCTATACCTAGTAAGTGCTCATTAAAAAAAAATATATATATATATATATATATGTATATCTTGTTGGTAAGTGCCATCAAGTCAG